AGACATACGATCATGGTTAGTCATAGACATAGAAGAATAGTTAAAGGATACGGCGGCATATTTGTTGTCATCATTCTTCTTGCCCTTTTCTTTCTTGTTCTTCTTGCTATGCACTCGGTAGGACTCATCATCATCACCATCTTCGGAGATGCTTGATAGCTCACTTCAAGATGCATTGGAGGCTTTTACTTCTTGTTTCTTCTTCTTTCTTGCTTCTCTTCTTTTTTCTTCTAGCTTCTCCCTTGATTCTTCTTACTTCTTTTCTTGCTTTTTTTTCTAACCGTTGTTGCTCCTTCTTCTTTTTCTCTCTTGCTTCTCTTTTCTCTTTTCTCTTTTCTAGCTTCTCTTATTCTTTCTTCTTTATTTTGAGCTTTTTCAGCATCGGTTGCCTCTAGCTGCGGGAGCATGGAGTTGCTCGCTGTAGAGGCGCTAAGCTCACTGCTGTCGGTGTCATGCAGCCCAAAGTCCTCTAGATCGATGTTGATGGGCTTCATGACATCGGATCCTCCCTCGGGCTCTATACCTCATGTGGTGAAGCGCACACGAGGTAACCTGGTGCTCTGATACCACTTGTAGGATCTCTAGTACGCCTAGAGGGGGTGAATAGGTCTATAACAATTCAACTCAAACCAAAGTCAAATTCACAAGCGGCACTGCGCTCTTTGAGCGTGGCACTGCCGCACCTGCAGGAGAGATTAGTTCACAATTCAAAATCTACCCAACGAAATTTAGATCGGGTAAATTTCTTAGCTTCCTGTAGGGTGGTAGATCACAGATCGACAGCTAAAAGCGGTGGAAACACCACACACAAGTAGATCGGCCTCAATTCTAGAAATTACCTCAACAATAACAAAAACACAAGTGTAGCAACACAAGCACAGACTGACACAAGGATTTATCCCGTGGTTCAGCTTGCCACCAAGGTTTGCCTAAGTCTATGTTGTTGAGGTATACCACTAAGGCTTAGAGATTTACAACCCTACTTCGTTCTTAAGTCAAGAGAGTGAACTCTTGAGATGAGGGGTGATTTCACTTGCTGCAAGAGGTGGTTACAAACCGCCTGGGGCTACCACACAAGTTGGCAAGCTCATCGGGCGACGCTCCAGCCAGCTAGGAGCCAAGCTCCAAGAGTAACAAACACAACCGCCGGCCAAAATGTGAACCAAGTGCTCTTTAGAGTTTGGAATCAATGGAGATGCTCTCTTATCAAGTTTTGGACCCTTATCTCTCAAGGATTGATAGGGAAATAAATGGATTTGCTTGGAAGCTTGAGGTCAACAATGGAGTGAGAGAGAGAGCTCCTGCTCTATTTTGACTATGCTGAAGTGAGGAAGAAGGGAGCAGGTTGGTTCATTTCCGTTGGGAAAGAAAGAGAAAGGTGTATATACCCCCCAGGCCCCAACGGTCACTTAAATCGCAGATAGCTATTGGGGAGAAAAATAAAAGGTATATATACCCTCAGCCAACAATGGACATTGCACCCAAGAGGTCGGGCGAGACGAGGTTCGCGGCCTTGAGGTCGGGCGAGATGGAGCCCATGACCAAAGGGTCGGACGAGACAGAGCCCGCGACCAACGGGTCGGGCAAGCCGGAGCCCATGACCTTGGGGTCGGGCGACACGAAGCCCGTGACCAAAGGGTCGGGCGAGCCGAAGCCCGCGACCTTGGGGTCGGGCGAGACGAAGCACGCGACCAAAGGGTCGGGCGAACCGGAGCCCGCACCCAAGGGGTCAGGCGCGACGGAGCCCGCGACCAAAGGGTCGGGCGAACTAGAGCCCACACCCAAGGGGTCGGGTGAGTCGGAGCTCGCAAGACAGTAAGGATAATAGTAAAGTGTAGACTGTCTTGGCTGTGAATCTGAGGATGCATCTGGTTGTTTGAGCACTTGGTAGCACATATTAGCTTAAGCATTGTGCCCCCCCCTTATAGTACGGCTTTTCGTATACTCAAATTCAATATATAAAAGAATTTAAATCTCCTTTGAGTTTGAAGCTATCTATATTTATAGTTGGGGGGATCCTCCGTTTCATGTAGCATCCTCGAATATAAATTTCCTACTTGTCATCTCGATAAATCTCATTAGTTCTCTAATTGCGATGTCATTATCACCAAAATCCACAATTAAGGCTTGATTGCACTTTCAGGATGAAATAAGATCAATGAATACCAACGGAGTTTGGGACTTAGAAACAATTCCTAAAGGAGCCAAGACAATAGGCTGTAAATGGGTCTACAAAACTAAATGTGACTCCAAAGGGAATGTAGAAAGATTTCAAACGTGACTTGTGACAAAAGGCTTCACACAAAGAGAACACATAGATTATAATGAGACATTTTCCCCAGTCTTATGTAAGGATTCTTTTAGAATCATAATGGCGCTTGTAGCATATTACGATTTAGAATTACATCAGATGGATGTAAAGACGACGTTCCTAAATAGACATTTGGAGGAAAATATTTACATGGCACAACCAAAAGGTTTTGTTGCTGAAGGAAAAGAACGTATGGGATGTTGCCTGAAGAAATCTATTTATAGATTAAAACAAGCATCAAGATAGTGATATTTAAAGTTTGATAGTACAATAAGGAAGTTTGGGTTTTAAGAAAATGTAGAGGACAATTGCATTTATGCAAAGTTCAAGAATAGAAAATATATTTTTCTAATCTTGTATGTGGATGACATCTTACTCGCTAGTAGTGATGTTAATCTACTACTAGAAATGAAGAAGTTCTTGTCCTCGAATTTTTATATGAAGGATCTCGGTGAAGCTTCGTTCATTCTAGGAATAGAGATTCACCGAGATAGAGAAAAGGGGGTTTTTGGACTATCACAAAAGGCATACTTAGAAAAAGTTTTAAGGAAATACAGTATGCAAATTGTAAGCCTTCACCTGCTCCCATAGTCAAGGGTGATAGATTTAGAAAATTTCAATGTCCCATGAACCAATATGAGATCGATCAAATAAAAGTGGTTCCATATGCTTCAGCTATTGAAAGTTTACATTATGCTCAAGTGTGTATACGCCCTGACTTAGCATTTGTTATCGGGTTACTTGGCAGATATCATAGTAATCCAGGAATAGAACACTGGAGACTAGTAAAGAAAGTTTTGCGTTACTTGCAAGGCACAAAAGGTCTCATGCTAACGTACAGAAGATCTAATTTCCTACACAGAGAGGGATATACAGATTCAGATTATGCGGGAGATGATAGAAAATCCATGTCAGGATATATATTCACTCTCGCAGGAGGAGCTATATCGTGGAAAAGCTCAAAGCAAACCGTCACTGCATCGTCTACGATGTATGCCGAGTTTATAGCGTGTTATGAGGCCACAGGACAGGTGAATTGGTTGAAGAAGTTCATGCCCAGGTTGAAAGTGGTAGACGACATACATAAGCCACTCAAGTTGTACTGTGACAATAATCCAGCAGTATGTTATGCTCATAATAATAAGTCAAGTGGTGCTGCCAAACACATTGACATAAAGTATTATGTTGTGAAAGATAAAGTCCAGGATCATATAATTAGTCTTGAGCACATAAGTACAGAAAAGATGCTCGTAGATCCGCTTACAAAAGGCTTACCACCCAACGTGTTCAGAGAACACTTAGCCAGCATGGGTTTAAGGGAAAGCCTATGATTCCTAGACAATAAGGGTCTAGATGAGAATCTGTTTCAAAACAGAAATGTGTATTGTAGCTGTTAATCTAATGGCAACTGACCGTGACGATGAGACACGTTCTATGCACTGATCTGTGATGAAATAGGAAAAAGATAAAGTAAGTTAAGTTTAAGTTATAAGGTGAGATCAAGGGGGAGAATGTTAGGTTGATCTCTACCAACTTGGCCCAACGGTCAATTGGACCATTGATCCGCGCCCTGATCGGGGGCGCCCAACCCTATCTATGGTTGGTGGACCCCCATCGCACAACGTCATAAAAAGGAGATGGAGGCCGGGGCATAAGGCACGAGGTTCACCTGAGCCACCACAAACCCCACTTACATCCTAATCCTAAGCCGATCTAGAGAGGGGGCGCTGCCAGCGACGGGAAGCCACCATCGCCGCGTCTTCATCGCCGCCTCTACGACCGCGCCTCCACTACGACGTCCACACCGTCGTCGGACTCCACTGCTACTCTGCGCATGCACCGCGTCACCGACACCGACGCTATGGCCAGCTCATCTACCTCCAAAGCGATCGATAGTTTGCTAACATTGTATCCTTCTCTCTCTGTTTCCTAACACTACATCATATTATAGGGTTTACCATATCCTAAATTTAAATTTATACACGCTAGATCTACTACTAGTCGATCCCAATGATCTGGTCATCTCATTTTCTAGCTATTACTAGAGCATGGTTGAAGACTATGCGTAGGCACTAGGTGGACCAGGAGAATGCTGCAAACTTTTTAATATCATTTCAAGTTTTTGCTCAGTACATTGCTTAAAAGCTGCTCAATTACTGCATACTCATATATTTTCTGGATGGATTCGATCACAAATCAGTACTACTACGGGGCTGTTTACGTGCCATTAAACCCGGTTTGATTCGTTTATTTTTTCATTCGGAATCGTGTTTTTTTCTCACAAATTCCTACAGCATTCATCCAAACCATCCAAATTCCTCCCAAATTCGGACAAACGAACAGGCCCTACAGTTATTTGTTAGGTCCAGTTTAGTTGCAAAAAATTTTGCAAAATTTTTCAAGATTTCCTGTCACATCAAATCTTCGACGCATGGATGAAACATTAAATATAAATAAAAAATAAAACTAATTACACAGTTTAGACGAAATCCACGAGACGAATCTTTTAAGTCTAATTAGACAATGATTAAACACTAATTACCAAATAACAATGAAAACTGCTACAGTATCATTTTACCAAAATTTTTGACATCTAAACAAACCCTTGGTCGACGAGGGGACGCATAATTGCTTCCTTCCTCTTACTGCTCCACCTGCTCCTGCTCCTGCTCCTGCGTGCCATCCTCTGTCAGGTGCTTGGAAGGGACTGGCGACAGCAGCTCGTTGTCGTGTCGTGGATCGTCTTCAGCAAATTATCCAGCTGCTCGAGGAGCACTTCGTTTGCTTCTTGCGTCTTCATCAGCCGAGGAAGAACAAGGACGTGCTGGCCGCCAGCGCCGAGGTAGCTCGGCTGTAGATGGTTGGCGATGGCAGCGATGACCTTCTCCATCCCGCTGCAGAGTTCCTGGAACCCCTGCGAGGCCGCATCAAACTCCAAGCCGTTGGCTCCTAGGAGCACGTCGTATGCTCCGTGGGTCTTCAGCTGAGTAAGAACAAGGACATGCTGGCCGCCGGCGCCGAGGTGGCTCTGCTGTAGATGAGTGGCTCCGGCAGCGATGAGGGCCTTCTTCATCCCGCTGTAAAATTCCTGGAACCCCTGCGAGGCCACGTCAAACTCTAAGCTGCTGGCTCCTACAGCAACTACAGATGCAATTATGACTACAGCAGCAAGTGGTATGGTATTGACAACAGCCATTTTGATTTTTTATTTTGGGGACACGGCAAGCAAACTCTCCCTCAACAAACTTATATAAGCACCCTACACGCGCCCACCTGACGCTGCGGAACAATTGCAGGTAAGTGGCAGGTTGGGAAGGGAAAATTGCAGGTAAACTGCACAGCACGACGCAGGGGCTTCATCACCAACTTGTCCACACGGATCCAAACTCGCTGTCGCGTGGCAATTGGCAAAGGAAATCCAAGACCTCTGAGGGTGTGTTTAGTTGGGTGAAAGTTGGAATTTGGGCTATTGTAACGCTTTCATTTTTATTTGGTAAATAGTGTTTAATTATGGACTAATTAGACTTAAAATGTTCGTTTCGTAATTTCTAATCAAACTGTGCAATTAGTTTTTTTTTTCTTCTACATTTAATGTTTCATTCACGTATCGTAAGATTCGATGTGATGAGTACTGTAGCATTTTTTTGAATTTTAAGGTGCCAACTAAACACGCGCTAACACACCTGCTACTGCTAGGGAGGCAGGCGAGCGTCGTGCAAGGTATTAGTACGAGATTGGTGAAGACGAAGTCTGAGGTTTCGAGCTAAAGCTGAACGTCAGCGTCAGTGGGGTAAATCAGAGCTCGTGGGTATGGATGATCAAGCCACCAGACTGTTCAAACAAGGGGCTCAACATGCGGGAGTTGTATCCTATCCATTGTGTACCATGGAAGGAAAAAAATTACTTCCATTTACTATGGTCTTGTTTAGATTGCAAGTTTTTTCACTCTCTCTCTATCACATCAAATCTTTGGACACATGCATAGAGTATTAAATATAGATAAAAAAATAACTAATTACACAGTTTGATTGTAAATTACGAGACGAATCTTTTGAGCCTAGTTAGGCTATGATTGGACAATAATTGTCAAATACAAACGAAAATGCTATAGTATCACATACTGATTTCTAACCTCAATCTAAACGAGGCCCAGGTGATATTGTCTACCAACCAAACACATGTGTCTCCCTAGTTTCTAGCTTAGCAAGGCAAAACAATAACAGATGTTGCCGGCCGGCGGGACCAACTGTGAGCCAGTGGTTCGGCGACAGTAGGGGTAAGAGCAACCCTGCCATGGTAGAAAAATCAATACGAAATAGCAACCCAACTCTTTTGCAACAATACGAAGTTGTACAAATTGCATATGGCACTCTACACTGGAACGATACAGGGTTGCATGCAATGTTATAGGAAGGGGAAATTTTCACTGGAACGATACAATAGATGGCTTGCAGTAAAGTCACACACACACAAAAAAGATACAAGTTAGATGGCTGCTTGGCTGTGTGCTGGAATGTGCTTGTTCTTCCTGTGAAGGAAAGCTTGTGCAGGTCAAAATATACTAGAACGAAATCATCATCGTTGAGATGTGCAAGCAATACAATGCCCCTGGAGAAGCAAAATCTAGAGGTAGGCGTCTGCGGTGCTGAGGTCAACGAGGATCTTGTTCTTGACATCCTGTGGAAGTGGGGCGGATGGCCCTGCCTTGGTGTAGAACTCCGCCAGTGATCTGATCGCCTTCTCCAACGCGACGTACGACTCCTGCAGTGCAGTGAAACAAGCGGGGTAAGAAATGGACCAACGGAGGGCGGACGATCACAGAATCACAGCTTGCCGCCACGCATTACTCCGCTTCTGCTCATGTACCTCGGCGGCGACGGCCTGCTGGCCTCTCCATCCGCCCAGGAACTCCCTGATGGACTCCTTGGCGGCGTCGGCGTTCCGGCGGAACCTGGCCATGTCGCCGCCGTCGTCCTCCTCCAGCGACTCCCGGAGCGTGCGCACCACCTCCCTGGCCGCCTTGAGGTACGCCTTGGGCAGCACCTTCCCGGCCTTGGTCTTCTCGTTGGGGTCGAAGATGGACTTGATGGCGCCGAGGACGCCCTCCTCGCCGCCGCTCCCATCCTCCTCCGCCGCCCTGACCGGCGCCGGCGCCGACACCGCCGCGCCCGCGAGGCCGAGGAGGAGGAGGGAGGCGGCGTGAGCTCTCCTGGTGATCGGCAGCCTGCAGGCTCCGCCGCCTGCTCTGTTGCGCGGCGGCACGCGAGAGTTAATCAAACAAACGCGAGAGCACCGAGGAGGAGGAAGAGAAGGGGGAGAATGGTGACGATGAGGCACGTACAGATAGGCTTGTGCCTGCTGTCCGGAGCTCGCTGCAGCTTAGGCGGCGACGGCGACGGCGACGGCGACGAGCAGGACTTGTGCAGCGTGGACATCGGAGGCGGCGGAGGGGAAGGCATTGCTGATCCTAGCTACGGCCTCTGCAATGCAGAAGCAACGGATGCTTTGGATTGCTCGTACGTAGTACCTTGTTCTTGGTTCAAGTGGAGCCTATGTTTGGCTGTCAATCCAGAACCTTATCTGCAGCACTCTCACCTGGCCTTGGCTTTGGCTTGATACCACGGATGCCTTTGGTACCGGGAGGGGCAACAAAAGCACGGGACGGCCCGTGGCCGGATACGCAACATGCAATACAGGCCTTTTGGCAGCTCGGTTCATGTGATGTTGTGTGTACACAAACAAACCCTGACGCTTGCCCGGGCCCGAAGCTCGGCAAGGAGAAACATCGGCATCCAAGCTGGCTTAGCTGATGAGCTGACTGATTCAGACGACAACTCATCTACAGGAACACAAAGGGCAGTGATGCTTCTGTAAGGGGGAAATGTATGGTGGTCTAGCGGACAGTTTGCAAATCAACACATTTGGGCGGTCTCGGCATCAGTGACCTCAAGCTCCAAGGATTCGCCCTACAAACCGAATGGCTGTGGTTACAAAAGACGGATCAAGAAAGGACGTGGAGTGAGCTGCCGATCAAAACGGCATCTTGCGCCATGCCTGTGCCATCTAGTCCCAAGCCAAACACGGCAGCGGCAATCGATCAAGGAGGCTCTGACTGTTGGAATAGAAGTGAATTGTCCACCTCTCCTATCAGCTTAGGCCTTGTTCGCTTGAGCTACTTTTCAATTATAAAACAGTGTTTCTCTCTCACAACATTTCAGCATAAACATCAGCATAAACTAAATTTCAGCATAAGCGAACAGGTAGTTAAACTTTTGGGTTAAACTGGTCGGTACATGCAACTCAATATGATATCAAAATCAGAGGTCTCGAGTTTGAATCCTGGTTAGCGTAATTAAATAAAATATAATTGTTGCTTACTCCTATTCCACATCCGAGGTCTGAGAGAGCCTCCATGTGAAGAGGAGTATTGGAATATAAATGAATTAGCCTCTCTTCCATTAACTTAAGCTTTTGGATGGAACCGGTGGATGTATGCAGCTCAATACTGACAAACAGGCAATGGGTTCGCGCCATCTCTGGTGGACTCTCGCAAACAGCTTTCGAGGAATATTTGGAGCTCTGGACCATCATGGAAGAGATAAACCTCAACGATCAGCCGGACAGGCTTGTGTGGCGCTAGTCACCAGATGGTGCGTACTCAGTCAAGTCAGCGTACATCATGCTTCAAACTGGTGCCGTCACTTTCTGTGGTCACTAGCTCGTGTGGAAAACTTGGGCGCCGCTCGGAGTACAGCAGCATGTTCGTTCGGTCGTATTTGATTTTATAAGTCATACGTTTATCAGTTAATGAATAGTATTTTTTTCTCACACTAAATCAGCTAGCAATACTTTTAATTATGGTTTATAAGTCAAATAAGTTTAAACAAATATGGAGAAGTTCTTCCTTTGGTTGGCCTTGCAACGCAGGCACTGGACGACGGATCGGTGAACTCGCCATGGCCTCGAGGCAAGAGACCGCTGCTATCTCTGCGATCAAGCTCCTGAAACGATCGATCACATCATCGCATCATGTCCGTTCACTCGGAAACTCCTTTTGAGCATAGTTAGTGCATGATCGGATAAAGTTTGTCAAATACAAACGAAACGTACTACAGTATCTGGTGGTAAAAATTTACAATCTAATGCTTCCATGCATACATCCAAAAATTAATATGATAGAGAGAGAATGAAAAAATTTAAAATTTAGAGGTGATCTAAACAAGGCCTAAGATGAAGTGCCAGAGTTCCCGAGTGACCGGACATGATGCGACGATGTGATCGATCGTTTCAGGAGCTTGATCGCAGAGATAGCAGCGGTCTCTTGCCTCGAGGCCATGGCGAGTTCACCGATCCGTCGTCCAGTGCCTGCGTTGCAAGGCCAACCAAAGGAAGAACTTCTCCATATTTGTTTGGACTTATTTGGTTTATAAACTATGACTAAAAATACTGCTGACTGATTTAATGTAAGAGAAAAATATTATTCGTTAGCTGATAAGCTATGATTTATAAACCAAATACGACCGAGCGAACGTGCTCCTGGACTCCGAGCGGCGCCCAAGTCTTCCACACGAGCTAGTGACCACAGAAAGTGACGGCACCAGTTTGAAGCATGATGTACGCTGACTTGACTGAGTACGCACCATCTGGTGACTAGCGCCACACAAGCCTGTCCGGCTGATCGTTGAGGTTTATCTCTTCCATGATGGTCCAGAGCTCCAAATATTCCTCGAAAGCTGTTTGCGAGAGTCCACTAGAGATGGCGCGAACCCATTGCCTATTTGTCAGTATTGAGCTGCATACATCCACCGGTTAGCGAACGGGGCCAATCAACAATGAGCTGGTGGTGCAAGTTACGTAAGCCTGCTAGCTGATGGGCAACGTCGAAAGGGACTTGACTTGCTGTTTGCGTTAGTTTCTTAGCAGGTGTGGAAGGAACGGAATGCAAGGTGCTTCCGAGACGTCTGTAGTACGATCGTCGAAATGCTTCAAGTCATGAAGATGGAGGCAGATCGCTGGATTGACGCTGGAGCACCTGGATTGAGGGCGCTGGTCGAGCGTTAGCGTCGTCAGGCTCTGAATGTTGCTGTTGTGTGTTTTCATTATGTAATCCCTTAACTGAAACCGGCTCAGCCGGCTCTTATTGTATTATATACTTTTCCTTTTTAAAGAGAAAAATTCATGGCACGAGGTGTCTGCTCTATTTTTAGGTCACAAACTTGACCTCGGTGCCATTCAGGTGTAAATGGGTCCTAACTCGCTTTGGGTGTTGACGTGGCACGCTAAGTATGGCGTGGCTCTTACATGCCGGACCCACGTGTCAGATGAATTTTTATTTTATTTTTTCTTGTCACTTTTTTCTCGATTCGTTTCTGTTCGTCGATGTGCAGCGCGCGGCGGCGTCGGCGGCGAGCCAGTACGCGGACGGCCTGGGGGCGCGACGGAGCCCGCGGCGGCGGTGGCGGCGAGCCAGCACGCGGCCGGCCTGGGGGCATGGCCGAGCCCGTGGAGGCGAGCCCGCGCTCGACCGACCTGAGGGCGCGGCGGAGCACGCGGCGGCGAGCACGCGTACGACGCCGCTGTCCAGGCCGCAACGGCAACCAGAAATTGCAGAACCTGCTCCTGTTCGTGCTCGACGTCATGCCGCTCTTGCTCGGGATCGACGGGAAAGAAGAACAAGCAACCAGCTCGCCGGGGAAGAAGAGCAAGCAACCAGCTCGCCGAGGCCGAGGAGGACGCGCCCTGCAACGGCTCGGATGAGGTGGCATCCGAGCGGCTCGGCCACGACGGGAAAGAGGCTGTGCACGGTGGACCAGGTGGAGCAGCTCAAGTCGGCAATCCGCGTGCCGATCTGGTCTTCCCTCTTCCTTTCCCTCGCCATGGACAGTCGGTTGCTCGCCTCCAGACCGCGCGAGCTGTAGCTGCGACGAGCGCGCCAGGCTGCCGAAGCTCACCAGCACCACGGATCGGGGCTTTTCGGACTCGAGCCAGCTCGCGCAGCGGATGGCGGTCGCGTCCTCAGAGGTCGCCGTCATGTTAAGAGGGGCTCCAGCGTTCGCCAGCTTGCTCCGCCAACCACTCACGCCTGCTCTGCTGTGCCGGCCTGCTCCGCCGCACCGGAATCGCCGCCTGGAGACAAGCGGTCGCGAGTCGCGAGTCGCGGTCTCGCCCGAGGGGTTGGGCGGCGAGCTCGCACAGGGCCCGCGCCGGCGACGACGAGCCAGCGCATTGCCGGCGATGGTGCTCAGCATCTCAGTGACAAGAAAAAAATAAAATAGGTTATTCCACTAGACATGTGGGCCCCATATGTAGGGGCTGCCACGTCATCCTACAAAACGGGTTAGAACCCGTTTAGACCTAAATGATACCCGAAACTAGGTTAATGTACCAAAAAATATGACTTTAAAAGTAAAAGGACTTAGATGACATCTCCTGCTAACTAGAAGGAGAGCCCATGCATTTTCCTCCTTTTTAAATACAATGATACGTAGATCCCATGCATATTCGGGAAAAAAATCAGAAGACAAAAACCTCTTTTTTCCTGTTGACGGCGTTTAATTTCACTAAACATCAGGGGCGAGGCTTTAGGGGGCCTAAAAACAGAAAAACAATCATTATGACAAAAAATGTACCATATATATCCATGAATACATCTCTATGACATAAGATAAACACACCCTCTCTAATTTGTTCCAGTTTAGCTACTGGTTAAAGTATGACAGAAGAGAGACGTGCTGGCTGGCAACAACCGCTAGGTTCATTACTAAAGACTATGGCCATGTTCGTTCTATTGAAAAACCATAGCTGAAAGTACTTCACTGATTTATTGTGAGAAAAAAAACACTGTTCATTCGCTGAAATAGTACGACTCATGAGGTGCCTCGAGAAGTTTTACTGAGCCGACGCCTGAGCAATCCCGATCCGTGGCATTCTCCGTTCTGGATTGTAATAAAAACATAGATATTGGATCACGTGTCCGCGTGCGTGCAGCGTCGCGCGTCGGCAGGGTAGGGGGTCCGGCAGACACCGATGACCGGGGCACACGAGGCACGACAGGAGGAGGTCCATCTGCCGAACGGGAGTTCCGGTTTCCGGTCAGCACGGCGCAAGTGACCCGCGCCAGGCAGCTCTCGGCGTGAGTTGAACCGATGGCATCGGGAGGCGAAGTGGCCAAGGCCGGCGAGCGCCGAGTCTTCCGGCCAGTCCAACGAAGCGACGGCCGAAAGGCACGTTTTTGCCCGGCCCTCCCCCGCTTTCGTGGGACGTCGCTTTGTTTCCCCCCGCCGGCCGAAAGAAGCGAGGGAAGGCACCGCCCAGCCCCAGCGCCCCCCAGCGAGGCTGCCGCTGTCCACAAGCCGAGTTCGCTCAGAGCGGGGCCGCACGACAGGCACGCCGAGCTGGCCAAGCCACCCACCGCTTGTGCTTCCACGCTCTTTTTTATTTTTCTCTTTTCTTTCCTGATGATGAAGCTACCGAAAAAATATACTAGGAGCTTTTTTTATCAAACATACTAGGAGCTTTATAATTCTGCCAGTTGGAAACAGGCGACCTATGTTTCCTGGAAAGGGTTTACCCTATTGTACGTGAGACAGTTAGTTATTAGCAGTACAGGCAAGTACAGTATGTATTTTGGGTCATAAAGGTGGAATTTCCAAGTTTCATTCCGCACCCTATTTGTGGCACTTCACCGATCACATTTCCTGCCATATCCAAGTCAGCATGTCTCTTCGAGTACAAGCAAGTTGGGTGACTATAACCGTGCATCTTAATTGGATTTTAACTTGATATATATGATCCTATCCTAACCAATAGCTCAGACTATTGACGTCTTTTCCAGTTTCCTTTCCCCCGCAAACATGAAAGCGAGCGTCCAAAAATTGAAAGAATTTTTTCTACAGACATGCATTTTGAAGAACATGCAGAATAGTCTGACATGCATTTCGATCGAGTGGCCGTAGCGATTCCGATCCGGGCTCTCTTTTTTATCAATGGCTTGTAGTTGTAGCCCAAATCAGAAATATCGTTTTACAAAAGATAGGCATAGGGGATTTACAAAGCACAGAATCGCTACATTTCAGATCAGATGCTATTTAAATCTTCAAATAGTCTGCACCAAATTTAAGTCGTCTCTCTCTCTCTCTCTCTTCCCTGCTCCCTCCTCCTAGCAAAAAGGGAGAGGCGAACCAGCTCAGAGCCGGCGACCGCCACCCCACTCAGAACCAGCTCCTGTGCACCAGCTTGTATACTCCTCCCCTACCTACGCTTTCCGGTTCCATCTTCCATCAGGCCGCGGACCGCCCCCGCGCCTCCCCTTTCCACCTGTTCGCGTGGGCATTCGCGCAGCCAGCCACCGGCTCATCGATCCATCGATATCCTCCTCTCTCTCTCTCTCTCAGTTCCGATCGACTGATCGAGCTCCTATGCGCGGTTAGCTCCTGCCGGTGGCCAACGACGACGAGCCACGAGCTGATCGATCCAAGTCCGCCGGCGGATCGGCCATCACCAGATGGTCAGTACTTTGTTCTTTGTCTCTCCTCCCAGCTTGCTGGCTAGCTACAGCGCGGTCGAGTTGATCTGCCTGGTGCTTTATGGAGTAGTAATCCGTACGTTCCTAGTCGCCTGATGATGATCATGCAGGGGACTCCGGTGAACATCATCGTCGGCTCGCACGTCTGGCTGGAGGCCCCCAGCGAGGCCTGGGTCGACGGCGTCGTCACCGAGATCAAAGGCGGCGACGCCACCATCGCCACCACCAATGGCAAAACGGTACGTTGTACTCCGCCACCTTGATTATCATTCGTCTCTCTCGGTTGATTCTTCTTCAAGCCGTCCCTGTTCTGATAGAAACCTTGGACTATCTAGACGCAGATCTAGCGGGTGAAATATAACTTAGACGAGGGAACTTGCTCAAGTCTCCAGTCGCACCCATGGCGCCGGCGACTAAATAGTAGCAGTGTAGACCCGGTCTGGTGGCGGCAGCGAAGACGATGGCACTTTCCGCCGCTTACAGCGTACCCTTCTAGATCGGACTAGGGCTAGGACATGGTGGGGCGCTGGCGGCTGTGGTGAACCTCGTGTCTCGAGCCCCAGACCTCACCTCTTATTTATTGCGCTGCGCGACGGGGCTCATCAGCCAGAAGAATGGCTGGGCGTCTCCGATCAGGGCACGGGTCAAGGCCCAATTAACCGTTGGATCAAGTTGGTGGAGATCAATATAGCATTCTCATCTATCTTGCTGGCTGCTGCCGGGGTGTACTATATATTTCGACTTTCGAGTCGGCTGCTCTGCACGTATATGTAAGAAGAAAATTGGAGGCGCAACTAACTGGCCGTTCCAGGTCGTGGCGAGCCTCGGCAGCATACACCCCAAGGACACGGAGGCGCCGCCGGCAGGAGTGGACGACATGACCAAGCTGGCCTACCTCCACGAGCCGGGGGTCCTGCACTACCTCTCCTGCCAATACGGCCTTACGAGATATATGTGAGTACTTCAATTTTGCCATCCGGGATGGGGATCCGATCCTACGTACGTAGGCTCGGTTTTCCTCCCTGTCAGGAAACTGTTCGTCAAGGTTTCCGTTCCGTTACAGCTAACAACCGTGTACAACCTGACATACAGACGTACACCGGGAACATCTTGATCGCGGTGAACCCTTTCCAGCGTCTGCCTCACATGTACGACGTGCACATGATGGAGCAGTACAAGGGCGCCACCTTTGGGGAGCTCAGCCCGCATCTCTTCGCGATCGCGGACGCCTACTACAGGTCTGTGTGTTCTGGTCCATTATCTGTTTATCTCTTTTTTTTTTTCTAATGTGACGACAGAAGCTCTGCCCTTCAACTAAGTTAGGAAAATTATCTGATTATGTCAGTGGGTACAATTCTTGACTGCACTCTATCATTCCAAGTCTTAGCAAATCTTGACTGCACAAGTTCATATGGGACACCAAAATATCCTTGGTAAATGCTTTACATGGTTGATTCTGTACTCTATCAAATTTCTACCATTTTTGTTTAGCTTGCTACTTCGTCGGGAATGCTGCTCTTTTAGCAATGGGGAGTTCTTAAAGGCTGGTTTACAAGACCTGGAGCAGTGGTGCTCTAGAACAACTGAAGAGGTGAATATTTTCCTCTCTTTTTTTTGGTAATTTTAACAAGACAAATTATAATCAGCAAGAGAGTGCTAATTAAATTGAAATATTGTCCATAATGCAGCATGTCTGGACATCCTGGGATGAATTGCAACACATTAGGCAGGCAGTCAGGTTCCTGGTATGCCTGAAAACATGCAGTTATTTCAACGGTTATACTAGTTTGATCTGTCTACTTATTAAATGAATTCATATTACAGGTTTTGCATCAGAAGTCACACAAAACCCTGGAGGAAATCACGAATGAGCTTTGCCCTGTAAGTTATAAAGAAAGCATCTTATAAGTGCTTAGATTTTCTTCAAGCTACAAGTATGAAATGTTGTGTATTTTCACAGGTTTTGAGCATAACTCAAATATATCGCATAGCAACGATGTTCTGGGACGACAAGTATGGTGCACAAGGTCTATCTCAAGAGGTAAGTGCATGCCTGCCAACTTCACATGATTAAACATATACGCAATTCCAAGTGCATTCAGCTTACTGAATGCGTGAAATGCAGCTATGCGTTGCTAAAGAGAACATCTTAACAAGAGTCAACTTTATTTCAGGTCATTGGAAAGATGAGAACGATGACAACATATGACTCAATAACTACTCCAAATAGTTCCTTCTTGCTAGATGACGACTCAAGGTATGATCAGTAGTTCAGTACTAAGATGTGAACATGCATGCAGTAGATAACACAATTGAATCTGCAACAGTTATGACTCATCTAACGCCCAAATGAATGAAAATGCAGCATACCAATATCATTGGATGATATAGCTCGACTGATGCTTGACATTGATCCGTCCGATGTGGAACCGCCCCCACTACTAAGGCAGAATTCTCAGTTTCACTTTCTTCTGCAGCAGCACACAGACTGATATCTACAGATGAAGAGTAAAACGGTACAGTTACTTGTGAAGTTACAGAGAACTGAAGATTTTTTATAGGAGTGCACAGATTGAGTTGTGATTTTTTTCTTCTTCCATTTTTTATAACTTTGGGTGGGAAAATGCCTACAAAGAGAGGGGAAAATAGGATATATCTTGATATCCTTCTTTTGATTGTTTCGATTGTTTGAAACAGAGAAAATTGTAATTATTTGAAGGGCGGGCCTGGTGCAATCGGTAGAGTCTTACTACCTGGGTTCGAGTCGCGGTCTCCTCGCATTGCACATGCGAGGGTAAGGTTTGCCAGTTGCCACTGACACCCTTCCACAGACCCCGCATAGAGCGGGAGCTCTCTGCACTGGGTACGCCCTTTAGAGAAAATTGTAATTATTTGAAGATGTATATAAATGATAGTATATATATTTGTACCCAACCACATTCAACGCAAAACAGATTCCTGATCTTCTGATTAAGCTAATCATCAATACGCCCACTACCCGTAGGACGGTTGAATACATATTATCCTCACGAACTAACCGTCTTCAACCATCCGACCTATGAACCACTGCATTGGCTTCAGCCCTCCCTTTAATCTGTAGCTGCACAGGATCCAGATTATACGAAAATAAGCCCTCCCTTTAATCTGTAGTTGCAATCCTGCACCTATGCAGGATCCAGATTGTACGAAAATAAAGAGGCGATTGGACCTTATGTCGCAGAATCGTTAATTGCCCGCGGAAACGAATTCTGCAGAATACACATGGCATTATCATCACTAGCCCAATGCCCCCAAACGATTCAGGTCTCGTCTCTTAACCGTTTCCTGCTGTGACAGCACGGAGTCGTCAGGTCTCGTCTCTTAACCGTTTCCTGCTGTGACAGCACGGAGTCGTCCCCATCGTGGTCGGATTTGCTCTAGGCCTCTAGGCATGAGCGTTTTCGATCGCCAGGGGAGGGGGAGGGTCGCATTACCTGACGGATGACAGCTGAAGCCCCGGGCGGTGCTCTCAACCATGGAATGGATCCTCTCCCTCCCCCTTCCCGCCTGCCTTTTTCTCTTTCGTCTCCGGTGATTGACTGGACTAGGATGCGTCGTGCGTGGCCGATGTGCATCTGCGTCGGGAGAAAACAGAGCGTCACTCGGGTCCGGGACTAAGAGCAACGGCGCGCGTGGTTCTCATCTCCTTTCTCTCTCGAGAGCGAGAATCGGCCGTGGAATTGAGATTCAGACAGAACAGACGCTTTAGTTTTCCAAACGTGCCGGCACGGCACTACACGGCACTAGCCCGCCCCGGCACGGCGCGCCTGATCGTGTCGTGTCGTGCCACCATATCCGACTCCGGACCCGGGCACAGCACTATCATTCCTAGATCGTGCCATATCGTGCCATGCCGACTCCAGGCTCAACATGTCCGTGCCGGCCCAGGCACTAAACTGGCAAAACCCCTCAATGAACTCAAGCCATCGTCGCCATCAGCCACGTCGACTGGGGGGTCGGAGTCATCGACGAGAAGGGGATCAGCAGCAGAACGGCCGAAGAGCACGATAGCGTCCTCGCGGACATCAGCGTCCTCATCATCTTCGACCATCCCGCACATATGCAGCTCGTCGTTCTGGGAGTGGTCAAACTCCCCGTCGTCGTGTCGCCCGGCGCCTGGGGCCATCTCTGCCATCTCCGGTTCCTCGACGGCTGCCACAATCAACAAATAAAAGTAGGGTTATGTTGGAGATTAGGGTTTGGATTAGGGTTAGGGTTTGGGTTTACCCTTACCTCTACGGCCAGAGCCCCATAAACGACGACGATGAGACGGACCGATTGCACACCCCCGGTACCTCAACGGAGACCGGAGCCCCGGAGGTGGCGGCAGGCAGTGATGTGGACGACGGACAGATGACGGAGATGCGACGAGGATGCCGAGAACGAGGCTCAATCGACGTTAAGGGATGAAGAATAAGGGAACAGATGGAGATTGAGGGCGAAAACCACCGGATCTGAGGGAGAAGAGGGAGATTGAGGGTGGAGAGGGAGAAGAGGGAACCACCGGCCACCGGAACTGACCCTTTACCCGCCGGAAGACTCCATGGTGACGGCGTCGAGGAGCCCAGGTTACGAGTGCGGCGAAGAGCGGCGAGCAGGCGAGGAGCTAGGGTTATGAGTGCGGCGATGAGCGGGTGTCGGGTACCGTAAAAAGGGGGTACCCTAAGCAAAAGCCGAAAAAACTCATAAACCCCCATAAGGCCTCCTTAGTCAACAGTTCACGGTGACGTCTCGAGGCCGGCTCGACCGAATCCGGTCTCGGACCAAATCTCCGCCTCGCCCGAGGCCCCCAGTCAGGGTCTCGGAGGTCTCGATCCCTCTCCGCCTCGCCCGAGGCCGGGCTCGTCCCGTGTCCTCGTCGTCTCCGCCTCGATCGTCCCTCTGGCAGGCTTTCCCGTCCATTTAATGCCCCTGCGAGCACCTGCTACGTCAGCCACGACCGGCAGGGTACAGCAATAGGAGCGATGGGACAACGGTCAAATCTTTTTTACCATCCCTTCATCGACGGTGCGGGGGGTTACCGTGTTCTCGTGGACACGTCCCGTCCGCACTATTCCACCTAAACCGAGTACGACGCCGACCGCCGAGGCCCCCTGTATCGCGACGCTGGGCACGTCCAAGGCCTCGGATGGATAACTAACTCCCCGCCGCCAATGGCCTCACCCGAGAGGCCTCTCGATAGAAAACCGATTCTCCGACTCTCGCCCGAGACCCGCCCAAAAGGCCTCGGGACGAGTTACCAACGCCCACCCGTTCAAGACGGGCTCGGCAAACCACCCCATCGCCTCCGCCTCGACCAACCACTCCCACGACGTCATCCGGATGACAGCTCGGTACGAGAGGAGTGGCCGACGAGACGCAAATCACATCGACACCATGCCGCCCGAAACAAGACAAGGCAGGAGTTACCGGCCACTGTGCGCAGCACTGTGCCCACGACTAAATGTCCATACCGCACTGTGCTGCCTAACTCTAACTACTCCGAGGACAACGCGGCGTGGGGAGTTAAGCTCGGATCCCTGTAGCCTCGGAATCAGTGTGCAGGGTCAGCCGCTCCACCCATGCCTCGACAATTTACCTCAGGGTCTCGACAACCTTGGTGTTCACACCTGTCAAGCCCCCCCACGATGGCTCGGCCTCGGCACCGCTAAGCTCTCGGCACTTTGTGCGACAACGCACTCGACCAAGCACGTCGCTCGTCAGGGCCCTATGACGAAGCTATTACATCGTCACAGATCGGATGTGATGTGACCGCGCTGCTTCGGCTCTTCAAAGCGCGTAACCACTCCATCGATTGTTCCGCCACAAAGAATGTGCTCTGTGGCTCGGACAGCACGCCTGTTCACACGACGCCACGTAACTAGCGCATGTATCACCCATCCCCCCTTCTACTATAAAAGGGAGGGATCGGGGCATTTTAGGGGACGAGGACACGGACTCTGAATCGGAACACACTTAGGCACATACTGAACTCATGAGGAAAACGAACACGTGTCCGTAGCACCCACACTTAGATCAAGATCTCGAGCAATTCGTCCCGTTCATCATAGAGACTTGGGGCTAGCTCCCTCTCTCATACTGCTTGTAACCCCCTACTACGAGCACTTCGGTGCAAGGAATACAAGATCGATCTCCTAGATCAACGTAGGGCATCGATTGCCTAAACCAAAGATAAACCTTGTGTCTCTTTGCATCACCATCCGAGATTAGGGGCACGCAGATAAATTTACTAGTTGGTTGAGGACCCCCGATCCAAAACACCGGCAAATGGGCGAGATACAGTGGCCAGGGAGAGCCGGAGAGGAGAGGCGAGAGGTTAGGGTTACGAGTGAGGGAGTGGGAAGAGCGGCCAGACGGGCGGCTTATATACTGGACCCCATTGGCTCGGCGATCCAACGGCTCACGCCCGCCTCCGCGATCCGGCGGTCGTGACCGTGCGTCGCCTGCGCCGCTCATTGAACGGGCCGTGCTGGCCGCACTATGGGCGACCTTTCGGCCCGTGCATCGCACGGCGCGGGCCGAGCCGCATCTGAGAGCTAGGGCCGTGCTTTTTCGCACGGGGCCCGTGCCAGCCTGTTTGGAAATTTATAACAGACGCCGTCGAGATAGGAATACCCGTGTAGGCCATTGTGGACGTGCGCCGGACATCTGTCCGGACGTCCGCGGAGCCCACCTCTCTCTCTTGACAGACGTCCGCGGAGCCCACCTCTGCGTGGGTAGGAGCCAGGAGCTGCCTCCCAACTCGTTGAGTCGCTGCGCCCCCGTCTGCCGATCCCCACCTCTGTCGTGTCCCTTCCCCGGCATCAAGTCATGCGCCCATGCGGACGCGCGTGTAGCGCAGTGGCAAAGCTCCGGTGGTGGGAGCTGGCCGGCCGGGGTTCGAACGCCGGTTGGATCGTGACGTACACGTCGCCTACGAAATCTGACGATTTCGGTGATATCAGGAAGAACGTGATTTTCAGATCTGAGTTTAGCTATAGATTTGTTTGTACACGGATAATATGTGGTGTATGTGTGTTGAGTGGACGTATATGTGTACGAACAGATGCTACAGCTATACCCAGATGAGAGACGACAAAAAAAAAGTTGTGTGCCCATCACTCATCGAGTCACTGTGCCCCTTAAAACTCTGTCAACATAAAACACTATGCAAAATATAGTTGGACACGTATAAAACATTTAAAACATATTGTCGCAGTATATATGTGAAATATATATAACATCTAGATAAAACACTTACAATATGTGTGAAACAAATACAATATCCCAGATAAAACACTTGCAACATACGTGAAACATATGCCAGATCCAGATAAAACACTTGCTGCAATATACGTCTGAAACGGTGAAATATTTTTTTCAAAACGTTTACAACATACCACTGAAAAACACTTGCAAAAATACATACAATATGCAACATTTCGATCTACTTTTACAACATCTATATATAGCA